GTGTCCTTGTTGTATGAAAGAATAGTCATGTAGTGTTCATCTATTTCCCTTTCTAATCTTTCTCATAAAAGAAATTAAATAAAAATACAACACATTTTAGCCATGAAGTGCTCTCATAGGAAAATACCATGGCACATTGAAATATGTCAAGCTTTAGTGTTTAAGAACACTTTTTAAGATTTAAGAGTCAACGTACACCTCAATGTAAGGTCCAAGGTTTCCTGGGGCTTCACACCAGATCAGCTGGACCAACTGATCAATCTGACCGATCAATCTGTTGGATTCTGGTCAGATCAGGACTCCAGATGCTGGAATACATGGATTGTTTTTTCAATCTAGAAAAATTCCCATATTCCTAATCAGAGTTTTGTTGTCCTGAAGAATTGCCAAGATCCTCACTTCTACAGTATCAATTCAGAGAACAATTTTATTAGGTTCTTCTCAAATAACATCCTTACCTAGAAACATTTTGCCTTACGTCTGAAAGAACGAGGCTGTACCAGTGTATTGGCTGTACTGGAGTGTAAATTAGTCAGGCATAGCAGTTCCTCCCCTGTTGGCCTGGCTTTTGTTTTTAATTTCTAGAAAGCTCTGACCAGTTTAAAAAATACTCGCAGACAGAAAAGGGTCAGCGTATGTGGCTCAGTACCAAAGCTTCACACTTACTTTTTCTCACAATTTAAGTCTCTGACATTACACAGCAGACAAATTTGGCAGTTTTCATGGTTGTCAGACGTAAAAATGTCTTACTCCCTGCCAAAAACTATTCTGAAAACGAAAACCAAAAAATAAAAAACAGAAAGGCACTGAATCGGAAGGCAATTTTACTTCAGCAAGGACAGTAGATTTATGTCTTAAAAGATGCCCGAATAAAAGTAGGGGGGAGGCGAAATAGGATACACACAAAAAAAGCCTCAAAATAAAAAAAATATTCTGGTTGTTACTTAGTAGCAACACTTTAACCAGGCCAGTTTTTATTTTTCAGAGGGGAAGAAAAAGAACACATATTTATGACGTAAGGGTTTTAGCCTTAGATTATATTATTACATCTGTGCTAGCAGCTTCTCTGAAGAAAAGAAGATTGCAGCAGGAACTACGACTAACTGAAAGAATTTGTCTGAACCATTCATGACGAGGTTTTCACCCTAGAATTGCAAAGGTCTGAATTCATGCTTAAATTAAGTAATACTTTAAAAATCAACTCAAATTTTAAAATATTTGAGTTATAGCAATTCAGTAGGATAAACATTTCTGAATAACTCTTTTAAAGATCCTTGTACCAATTATTTTCTACTCAGAGGTTCCTAAAGCTCTCCAGAGAACAAGATCACAAGATCCAATACTTCTGAAACGGAGGGAAACAGCCTTTGTCTGTATCTCAAAAATGCAAAAGAAAGTGTCTGTATTAACATTTCAAAATATAGTAATGGCACAAGACAATTTCTAAAACAAATAAAGGCATGTCGGGGGAGACCTTTTGATAGTACAGATACAATTTTTTTGTTTCAAAAAGAGAAAGTTTCCCTTTAAATAAAACTTCATTTTATCTGTACAAAGATCTTTGAGAACATCATACTCAGGTTCCAGCTTTTATGTGCCTTTCAATAAATAGGCATAAGTAATTCTCTTTTTGAGACTTTCAAATTTTAGTTAAGTTTATATATTGACAATTTTACAATGCCTACAAAATAAAGCTGTAAATGTCTTAAAAGACAAACTAAACCCTGAGAGCATAAATGTTGCAGGTATCTCCTGCATTTGGCTTTTTGTACTGTGAGCTATAGAGTTACAAAAAAAGTTTATTTGGTTTCAAAGATACAAATAGATTACAAGAAGGCTCTCAAATGAAACGAAAAGGCATATTCTTCTATTACATGACACACTGTTTATATACTACGAAGTTTCTCGCTTTTCATTTTACTCTAATGCATCTCAAATAGCAGATTATAAACTTTATAAAACTCTCACTCAAACTTGCTTAAATCTCATGCCTACAAAGGCTCACTTCTGCCAGCATTTCCATTCAAGTCACAGGGACTATTTACATGCCTAATTTAACCATGAAAAGAAATCTTTACATGTCTGGGGCCTTAGTCACTTACTGGAGAAAGCTGAGAATTGAGCTAAGGGGAAAAAAAAAAGGAGGTAATTCTTTTTTTTTTTTTTTTTTACCTCAAAGCATTAGATTATTAGCTGCTATGTGTTACAAGAGTCACTCAAAAAAAAATTTGAAAAAATATTAGCAGTTCATCAGCTGTAATACTGAGGCACAATTCAGGAGATGTCTTCCGTCCAAGAACCTAGCACTGATCACTTCTAAGAAGATTGTACCAATGAACTAACGAGGTTATGAAAGTACATCAACCACTTAAATACACAGAAATATACTCACCTACAACATCATCCGTTATTTGATCATTTCTCAATAAAGATTCATCAGTGTACTGCAACCTTGTCTAGCAGCTCAGGAAAACACTACTTCCCCTTTCGAGAGAAAGCAAACTGAAGTGAAAGGGAAAACTGTAGAGGCTTATGCTTGGCCATAAAGTTCATTGTGGTGGCCAAGAATGGAATTTGGGAATCTTGGTTTACAGCCATAAAGTGAAATATTGTTTCTAGTAAAGCCAAACAAAATTCCAATGGACTTCAGAGGAGTCATGATTCCACAACAAATTAGATAAATTTTCTCTAACGTGAACACTGAAGAAAAACTTAGAAAAGAAATAAGGGAAATTCAAGTACTTATAGTTAATTTGGATTTCCAGAAGACTTTACAAGGTCCTTCTCGAAAGGCTTCAGAAAATTAAGCAGCTATAGGATATAATCCTCAAGTGGATAAACAGCTTGTTAAAAGACAGAAACAGTAAATGGCGTGTTTTCACTGAGGAGTTTCCACAGGGTATGTTCAGTACACTCATAAATGACAAGATAAAGAGGTCACAAAGTTTGCTGATGATATTCATTTATTCATAATGTAAAGACCGTAAAAAAATACAGAAAAAATGTGGAACAGATCTTATGAGACTGTGTGGATGCACTATAACGTAGATGCTATAAAACTGAAGCTGAAATGAAATGAACAAAGATATTATTCACACAAGTAAAGCCTTAAATTCACAGATGACAGGCTCAAACTGACTACTAACCCTCAAGCATTAAATCATGGGACTAGAATAGGCAGAAAAACAAAAAACATTAGCAGAAACCAAAAACACAGTTACCAGGTTATAAATAAAACAGTGAAGGAAATGTTTCTCCACAAAATGTGTACCGAAATCATTGAACCTCCTTGGTCATAACTGTTGCAGATACACAAACTGAGTTTTACACTAATTCTTGGAATAGCACTGCTCAGTGACTTTCTCAATACCTTGAAAACACTTGATAGGAAAATCTCCACGTTGAAATTCTCAATGCCTGGGATAGTAACAAAGGAGCATCTCCTTACATCTACCCTCTTCTAGCACACTCCCATAGGCATTGATTCTTAGTGTTCTGCACAGGATGTTGTCAGGCTACAGGTTCCTCTAACAGTTTGGTCATTCTCATTTGTTACACATCGGGCAGCATCCCTGCATTTATGGATTCAAGCACGTATTTGTGAAAAGGGCACTCCTCATACCATGCAACATAGATTTTTATCATGCAAAAAAAAAATAAATCTCTAATTATATCCTAAACGTGACATTCTACAGCCTTAAAAGAAGTTAGAAGTTTTTTCCCCAACTTACCTATAAGGTCTGTAGGCCCAGTCCCCAAATTTTCTCCTCTAATTGTCACTTTTGTCCATGAGATGCCTTCATTGGGAGAGATGCCAGTTACAAGTGGGGGCTGCCGTGCTCGAGACATGATGTCTATTCAGTTACCGAAAACTGGGTTGCTTTTACCTGTTCAGCAAGAAACAATAATTGAAAACAATTCTATTATGTAAAAATTCTTCAAAAACCTCTTAAGCTGTTCTTCTAAAATAACAAAGAAACATGAATGCAAACATGGAACTACTCAAAGCCTTTTTTGCCACATAGTCATAAAACAATAAACACCTTCACCTTCTTTGCGTTTCCATTTTTTCATTAAGTATAGCTCTAGTTCTAAACGGTAAAGAAAAAGTATATTCAGAAAAATATTAATCCCCCAAAATGCTTAATGAAATTATATACACACACTCCAAATTACTTCTGTCAGAATTCAGATGAGCCTGTTGATTCCTCTAGTAGAAAGTTATTATTCCTTATTATTCCTTGCTATATTCCTTAGTAAGTTTAGAATTGCTACGCTGAGTAACAGACTATGGTTACATACACGGATTACTTCCCCATCAAAAGCAGACTTACTGGCACACAGTCCCATGGGGAGAAGACCCCAGCACTTATTTGTATAAAGCATCCAGATTTACACAAACTGAGAAAACGAAAACATTACTTAGACACTCCACTAGTAGAGAACACCAACAAAACAAATAATATCCCAACAGATCAACAAAAACATGCATAGAATTATCAAATAAATATTTCCAGAAGAGTATTCCTTTGCACCCAAAGTAGAAGTCAACTCAAAACAGTTTTCAATTCACTCTGCAATAAAAATATGAATATGGTACGCGTGTTATGCCGTCTACATTTAGTTCACTGTGGAACTGATCACAAATCCCTATGATTTATTAGCCATTTCCTTCGTGCAGCTCCGTAGCTATAAGCAGCGCATGAGTACAACCTGAAGCACATTAGCTCCCATCAACTTCTCCACATTTACAACACCTACTTAAACGAAGAGACTGCCCATAGGTACACAGATCCTACAAAAGTCATAAGACAGGCAAAAAAGTGTCTTTTAAGGACTCCCACAGTAATTTTGCATGACCTATTCCATTTCATGACTCCCGAATTCTTCTACTGAGACATAGCATTCTTAAAACTCCTAGTAAAAAAAAAAAATAAATTTTATTTGGTATTCTGGAACATCATAAAGTTACCTATGTTAAGTACCTAATACGAACTCATCTGCATTGGAAAGGTAAGAATCAAAAATAACCTATAGGAAGAAATAATTTTATTTCTAAGAAAATCCAGGAACAGTGAAACAAGTCAATACTCAAAAACCTTAGGTACACATATAGAACACTTCAGTGTACACGCAAAAAACATACGGAATATAAGTTAAGCTTCATAAGGCTTCTCGTATGTATTTTTATTTTGGATCAAAGTATATTTTCTATTTTTACTCGCAAATAGTCAAGTCCATGAAACCCAGAATCATCCCTAACAATAAACAGCAGTAAAGTTGCCGTTTCCAAGCACCTGCAGTTAGGAAATACCAGAATTAATCTAGATATCCTTTTCCAGCTGCTTCTGAATATACAAAATACATTCGCTGTACCATCATACACCATGCTTCCACCACAACCTCTCCAAACTTTTCAGTGTTACTAGACAGATCTGCCATGAGGATCAAAGAGACTCCTACTGATCGGTTTCTTTCTTCCTGAACTCAGAATGCACATTGGAAATGAAGATGAAAATGGGAAAGGTAGGAATAAGAAGGAAGATCTCATGGTGAAAGTAATCACATATTGCCCCAGAACAGGATCCTGCCTCTATCCATACCGCAGATGCTTGGCAGTTCACTTAGAGTAAAACTTTACAGTAACATTTTTTTCTTCTCAGCTTCTGTGTGTCCAGCTTCAGAGCCCACAGCCACATCTGAAGTCAGTGTGAACTGGACCCTGAACGTAGGGAATGCTGCACAACCCTCCAAAATATTCAGGTCCTAAATAAACACCTCAAATCTGTAAACGCATTTGATCTCAAATGTCTGTTTCTCAGCTTCATATATTTAAAACAGGAATCTATCACACATCTCAAAAGCTATTTTGAAGATAAATTCACTAATATGGAAGAGGTATTTAGATACTCTGAACACCACAGAACTACGAATATCCTTAGAGAACTTTTGAGACTACCTTTGAAGAGTGTGCAATTAGTAAGAGATGCAGATTCCTGTTGAACAAACAAGAACATAAGTTGTGGTATGTGAGCCACGTTCAGTGCATGAAGGATAAGCGCCTGTGACAACACACATAACACACGTCTGGAAGTAAGGTGATTTGGTTCAGTTTTGTGTTTTTAACTGGCAAATCTCATATTTCTTGACTGGTTGACTTCACAACACTAAAAATGATATTATGTCTTTATCAGAAGATTAATGTCCCAGACTTTTTGCAAACAACAGACTGATGAAAAAGGAATTAAATTAGATAGCATCATACCGATGCTCTCTTAAGTCCATATGTAAAATATTGGAACCTTTTATGTGAACCCAACACCAGGCTGGACAAGTGAGAAGTCAACAGCTGCAGTCCATAACCTTGCGGGTAGAACAGCACTGAAGGAGAGGAGGACTGTACCAGCAGATGACAAAGAAATCAGCTGACAGTCATCTCCAGCTACGAAGAGAAGGTTGTGCTCTGGCAGACAGAGTGCCCTCCCTCCTGGTCCCTTTTGCCCCCACTCCTGTTTCTTTCCCAGCACTGCTTTACCCCCTCACACAGGGGCACCGTCTCTGCCCCACATCAAAACTGAGCCCAAGTCCTAGTCTTGCAGCCAAACTATTCCCTGCCCCTATTCAGACAATTTTCCCTTTGATTTCTTCTCCATAAGTTCAAGGAGGGAGGGAGAGAGGGGTGTTGATATCCCAATCCTCCTTTCAAACCCTGACACCTTGCTAATTTACCTCCTGTTCCTTATCCCGAGCTTTCTTGTCCAGATAGCCCACCTGTAGCACCTCCTCACCATAGGGGGAAACAACAGACTCGGTCTCCTGCCCAGCTCCAGAGTCCTGCCCAGCTCCAGAGTCCTGCCCAGCTCCAGAGTCCTGCCCAGCTCCAGAGTCCTGCCCAGCTCCCCTCTGTGCTGCATTCAAGGTGACATTACCGCAGCATCGCCTGACAAAACAACAGGCAGCACAACAGAAACAAGCTTCCCAGCTCCCGCTGCTAAATCTAATGCTACCTGGAGCAATCAGAACCCAAAATTGCAGGAAAAGTCTTGTTTATTCCTATAAAATTACAAGACGCACCTGCACAGAACTTCGAGACCTTTCAGAATTTGAAGTTTCCTCTGGAGTTCTCTGCTATGAGGATGGTAGAGGAGAACCAGGTGCCTAAGCTTACCTAGAGCAAGGAGGACAAACTGCATCTATCCCTCACCATCCTATCTACGTAGACTTGGCAGCTTTTCTCACGGATCCTCAGCAGAGCTCGAAGACAAACAACAGCTGAAAAGAAACAGTGGGGTTACGTCCCCACATACACACCTAGTCACCTTCTGCAGGAAGCAGCATGTGCCAGCCATCTTCAGGAGCTCCGTGGTAATATGGAGAGGAGGAAATCTTGAGGAAAAAAAAAGTAAAATAAAAGCTACTTCGGTATTATTTGGTTGATTTTCTCTCTCTCTCTCCTCCCTGCCCCCCAATATTACAGTTCCCTTGCACTGGAGTCATTGTTTCTTTCAAAATACCTAGGCACACAGGTAATTGGCTTGAATTGATACCAAAACTCAAAAGTAATAATACAACATATTTTTCTGGATTTCAGAAATTGGCACTAGATCTCCCTTCATGATGAGCTAAATAAATGTAATAAAAACGCTGAGCCTCCTGAGGTCTAATATTTCTTCTAAAGTATTTCCATACTTAGTGCAGAATTGCTTTAAAATACCTCACTGGAATGAGAATACCACAGTAAATCTCAACACATTACAAAAGCACTACAGCACCGAGACATTCTCTTATTATTATTATTATTTTTAAACAGCAATTTGTTTCGTTTATTTCAAAGAGTAAGTGAAGGAACCCTATGGAATCTGTTCTTACTACAAATATCAAACAAACGCTCGTGAGCCTTCGATTTGTTTGTAGTATTTCCTCTCCTCCTTCTTATGACAAATATATCAATAGTTAAAATCACTGAACTGCTTATTGGGAAGACTAGCCAGTATATTACTGTGGCCCAAAAGTCAGTTTCTAATGTTTAAACGAGTATTTAATGCAAAGCTAAAAAAAAAAATAAAAATTACTTTTTCATCTCATTCAGAGATCAAATAATCTAATTAAGAGCTTTTGCAGCAATTCTACACATTGCCCTAAAGAGAAACTCTATTCTTTACAAATACAAAATATTATGTATAAAGTAATAATAATTATAACAATATTTTTAAAAGCAGCCCTCTTACTGGAAGACTGTTTCTTATACAGACCAGGGGAGACTGCATAAAGGCAATTTTCTATACAAGATTTTTCCTCTGAGGAGCCAGGCTCACCGGAGAAGCGTTAACAAGACTATTTTTTTGTAACAGACAATCTTCTACACTAACAGAGGTTTCTTCCCCTCTTTACTCCTCCTCACCCTTTTTTTTTAAACTTCATTTCCCCACAATATCTCTCCAACAGTTTAACGTGGATGACATCTGTTTGACTGCTCCCATGATCTTGCCCATATTATTCTATTATTCCGTCATAATTCTTGTTATGAAAGTGCGAGGAGTTAGAAAGCCTCTGCAAAGACCACCTACTACAAAGCCATCTTGAAAAAAGCTTTTCATAAACATCATCTTTGTCTTTACATGAGCCTCTCAAATAAACTGTCCTCTCAAAGGTTTGGTTCAAAAAAAAAAAAAAAAATCCAGACGATTGAGTATTACAAGCTTGCTAAAGAGGGGACATCTTCACTCTTATCCTACAATAAGCCACTTTAAAAACAAATAACAAAGAAATGAAATATGGGCCAACATAAGGAAAAACACAAGTCTAGTTGCTTTTTTGACTTTTGTAAACCTTCAGTTGGTTTAAAACAAGAATTCTTAAATAGATTTCCCCATTCGACTTTCAATGGCA